CTTGCGTACGGATGACAGCTGCGTATGAATTAATTTATTTTCTGGTGCTTTCACTTCCAGAGACAGTTGTAAGCACTGTGTAACTGCCTCGAGGGTGCTTGACCATTTTAACACAACGTGGTGCGATCATCCCCCTTGCCAGGAGTGAGGGTTCTCCACCCCGCACAACATGATATACTCGGCCACCATTATGGTTACCGCCAAAAAAAAAACAGAGGTAAAAAAAAACCGGTAACCTGGTTGCCGAGTTCACGAAGTGAATTGGCTTGTTTAACGACGTCGTTGCCAAGCGACGAAAACCCAATCTCGATGGCAAACACCGGGGGGGAATTGGCTTGTTTTACAACGTCGTCGCCAAGCGACGAAAACCCAACCCCGATGGCAAACACCGGGGGGGGGCGAAGGCGGGCGGGGGGGGAGGCGTCATACCGAGAAATATGCACACGACAGTAGTAGAGTGCACTCACTCGACTCGAGAGCACCACACAGTGACTCCACACCTTGAGAGCCACCATGCACCAACAATGTCACTACGAGAGAAAACGGCAGAAGGGGGGACTCTCACCTTTGGCGGGGCGCCAACAGCGATCGCCGGGGGGACAAAACTCTGGGGTGGGCGTGAAGCACGAACTTCGCTGCCGGATCCGTCCGTTTCCGCCGATCCAAACACCACGTAGCTTTCCTGGACAGACGAGGCCGCGCGGACATATGGGAGGGGGGGCACAAGACCGTGGGGTTGACGGAGGGGACAGTAGTGCGACACGTGCGGTACAACACGACCGGTGCCATCGACTCGCCTGAAACCGGAACATGAAACAAAGCGTGCGCCTGTTTACATGGCGGGGAGAACGCCAAGATGTGTACCATCAGAGACAGACCTTGACTCACTTGGACACAGACAGGCGTCGTCTATCCCCCTTTTGATAACGGCAAGTAGCACCCCTTTACTACCCTTTTCGCAGGAGGAAGATCTCACGAACAGGAGGAAAAATTGTCACGCATGCTGCTGCTCACGTATGTACGTAACGCATCCACGAACACGCACACACACACCTGTCGCGGATGCCTGAAGACGTCGGGCCCTTTCACGACGAACACGACGCCGTTTGTCGTCCGAATGGTCATCCGAAACACGCCCTTCACGGCGCGCAGCCCGAGCTTTTCCACCGCCTGCCGGCTCTTCCGCTCGGCGCGGTTCATGTGTGCGAGCGGCGGCACAGACTCCTGGGCCGGTGGCTCCGCCGCCGCTGCCGCCGCCGCTGCCACCGCTGCCGCTGCCTCTTCCTCCTGCTGCTTGGCCGTAACCTTCGCCGTCGCCCTCTGCCTACCGGTCGCCTTCGTCGTCTGCGTTTCCACCGTGGGCGGCGCGGCCACAGGCGGCGCCGGTGTCGGCGGCTTCGCTTTCGTGGTGGCCGCTGTCGTCTCCTCCGCCTCAGGCAACGGTGCAACGGTCGCCATCGCTCCCGCTCTTGTCGTGGAAGAAGCACAGGCGGTGGTGGTAGCGCTGGCGACCTCGGCGGCGGCGGCGGCGGCGGCGGCGGCGTACCCCACGATACCGGTCACCCCTCCGGCCGACTGCCTCCGACCCGAGCGCGTCGGCGAGAGGCTTCTCGTGAGCGGCTGCTGCTGCTGCTCCGCCGAACCCAGGGAGAATGCAGAGGGAACTGCGCCCTGGTGCGGCTGTTTGTTTGCTTGTTGACCCCTGCCACCGTGAAACGGCGAGTTCTCGCCGTCGCCGTCGATGCCTCCCCTTACCGGGCTCTTGCTCTTCAGGTGGCGGTTCGATTTCGGTTTCGGATCAAGTTCCGAGAGTTTCAGTATTTGCGGGGAATTAGGATCGTTTTACCNGGGGGGGGGGGGGGGGGGGGGGGGGGGGGGGGGGGGGGGGGGGGGGGGGGGGGGGGGGGGGGGGGGGGGGTTGGCAGAGTACAAAACACTACGAACATAGTACCTGCTGCACTCTTTACGCGCAGGGTTGGATCCCGGAAAGCCATGAAGATTTGTAACGCTTGTTTGAGCGTCGTAATTGGGCAACGCGAGCGTGCGGTTTCGCCTTGTGTGGCTTGAAAGTTGGCACGGCGACAAACTGACGCACGGCACAGAAGCAGCAAGCACGTACGTAGACTTTCACGCTCAGCACTTGGCATATCGTTCCGGCGTCGCGACCCAACGGAGGAGGATCCAGCCCACATAGACCCCCCTTTCATGCGGTTCTGCACAGCTTGCGAAGGCTGTATCTTAACAGAAGGAACGCCCAAATAAAGCGACACGAATATGATGATTCTCAAACTGGCAAATCAAGNGGGGGGGGGGGGGGGGTTGCTGCTACTGCTGCTGGCTCCTCAAACACAGAGCAATGCTGTCGCAAGGAGTCGTCAGACTGACACAACCGTGGGGATCTCTACGGGAAGCACGTCCGAGGTTACGAGAGCGACGGGTGGAAGGTGCACCTGTGTGTCTGGTATCTCCACCAGGTCCCTATGCTTGCCCACCTGCATGCTCCACCGCCTGCTGCTCCTAGCCAAGTATTGTGCGGTTTTGTCGGCGTCTTGCATGGAGTTTCCCGTCAGGACCCCTCCAAAAGATCGCTGCTGGCGCGCGCACACACACGCACAATACGACACGGAAAAGGCGGCGTGAGGTACGACCTCAGCTCACAAACGACTCAGTGTACAGCAGAAGTATACACGCGTGAACAAAATTGCTGCATGCGACAGGAGTCTCCCAAAAGACAAAACCGTGACAGCAAGTATATATACAAACGGCGAGGATTTCCTAGCGGTAAGACGAAATAGGAGTGGCTGAAGAATTGAGACAGAGCACGAGGTCTATCTAAACGGCGAAGACCGACGAAGAGAGATTCCGACTGTTGGATGCGGGGTGGACCCATGCATGGAGTAGGCGTGCGCCGGGCTACTGATCGAACAGCGAGCGAGGCAGAGCAAAAAAGCGGGGGTAAGGAGTAGCACGGGGTTTGCCGCACCCAAACGCGGGGCTTTGCGTCTTGCTTCGGAAGGTACGCAACCGAGCCTACCGTGCAATGTCACCCGAAAATGTTGCCAAAAACACGAACACCGAAAACATATTTTACCTTCACAGCCGACAGCACCTTCACCGCGGGCAATGAGATACTGACCTGTCACACAATCTAAAGTTAACCTCGGGTAGCGCCCGACCTGGGTTCTCTGGAATACGTACATTCACGGCACCAAGTCGGTATTCTAGCCAGCGCGTGATGCCTATCGACGAACGCTCGTGCGTGCTGCTATCAACCCAAAACACACACACACACACACACACACACTCACGCGTCCCCTGGGAGCAGCAGCTTCGAGCGCGACGGCGGCGGCGCAGCCGTCGCCGAGACCAGGAGCAGCAGCAGCTGCATCATCGTTGGTCGTGACCTCTCTCGGATGTCCCTCGTCGCAGGAGACGACGGTTGTCGGGACGGAGGGGTGTGCGGGTTCATGATGATCATCGACCGGCCGCTGCCCGTTGCTGCCGCCGCCTCCTGTCCCGTGCAGGAGGTGGTCCAAGAACGACCGCTGAGGGCGAGAGCGGATGGCCGGTGACGGCAGAACAAAAAATAAATGAAAGATGGTTGCTCGTTTCGCTGGGTTATTTTTTTGGTCGTTGGTCCGACTGGACTGGTGGTCTATTCGTTGATGCTCTGATGGACGGTTTTGATTGGTGGAACGCATATACCGAATGGTTGGGGCTGGAGCCGACAAACATCACTTCTCCTGCTCATCTCGAGAAAAGAGACGATTTCCGGCGTGTGCAATTGGATGCTTCCCCTTCGTAAGACTGACTTATGTGTTTTCATCTGCTGCGGAAAGATCTGCACAGCAATGGGCTGGCTTGGTGCTTGCTGATGCGCTGTCCGCTGAAATGCTTACAAATGGCCTTCAAACGGGTCATCAAGCGTTGTCCCCGCTATCACCGTCCTTCGTTTATTTGCTTGCTGCTTTCGCGCCAGCGTCTTCCCTCTCGCGCCACCCCTAACTTCCGCACCAACAGGCATGTCAACAAGACACCTTGAAACGTGGCACGACCTCATCACCGGCCGACTACAACTGAAGATGACAAGATGGCTTTTCACTGGGTTCTGAGTGCGGCCTTATCACAATCGAGCAATAGCCAAAAGCGACATATTGATGCCTTTCGTGGAGGCTAGGTATACACTCCAACGCCTCTTCCCTACCCCCCCCCCCCCCCCCCCCCCCCCCC